AACTGACTTCACACCTCAGTATTGTAGATATTCACGAATCGATCTGGAACATTTCTTAGAAGGACTATAGAGGCATATATGGTCAGGGTGCTATCAAAAAAGACGATTCGATCTACCACAATGTAGCAAATATATATTTATAAAGTGGAGATGAACATGATGTCCGGGGTCATCCTCGTCATCAACTTGAAATATAAATGTCACATTCATGATGTTGATCATCATAAAGCTGTCCTTCCAGTTACTTGATTTCTGACGATCGCATTACAAATCACTCGATAAGATGATATTTGTAGTGTGGTGTCGAGTCGCGCTTGACTATGAACACCACTACAAGAAGACTACGTGCCAGTTAACCGATAAAATCCCACGTAAGCCAAATATCAGAAGGCAGTTGATGGCTGTAGTCGAGATGTATTTGTTGGCGATCTCGTGCTATCGGAATGATACCGAAATCGTTCCAAAGAAGTACAGGCGTGGTTACTGAGCGTAACCCAAGTCGTACAAGGTCACAATCAATCGAAGGATAATGAAGCAGTAATGTGGCTGTCTTTAGCACAGTTAAACAAACGAGCACAGTAAAACCATCACTGGTACAATTGGTTATAATAATGATTGTCTGCATTAAACCCAACACGTTCTTTTGATGAAAGTAGGTCACTACATATTCAACATTGCAAACTGTGATCAAATATTGAGATTATAGAGAGAAGATCTGTTGCTCAGAAGGTTGATGTTTTATCATTTGAACCGACTTATTGATTAGTTACTCTTTAAAGATGATCTATTCCATGTTCTATGTGCCGAGTGCGTGACTTCTCTATTAGAGTCCAGGCAATTCAACTCCACCATAGTCATCTTACATCATCATTTATTATTCACCTGTGTTGCTCAGTATAATCATTTCGTTTTGACTGCAGTTATTTACATTTCTACTGCAAACAATGTCATTTCCATACATTTTCCGGTCAAATTATTCCATCACTAAATATCTATAGATATACTTATAATATAACATTCTCAGTCAAGTAACTGTAGAGTAAATTTGATAAAATTCACACCTCACATGGTCAGTAAACAAACGCTGAATTAAAAGCACGATGTATATGGGGATATAACAGGAGCTAGACTACGGGTACTCAACATAACTGAAGTCATCTGGATCAACTCTTGAAAACCGAACTAATATATCAGAAGAGGTATATCCAGCCTCCATGTTTACCGTGGTCCACAACTGAATCATCAGACACTTCAAATTCATGTTATAAACCTATTCGTTTTGTGATTATCTGTTTCCTAATCCCCACTGATTCGTTTTCTTCGTAATCACCTTGACTACACCACTCCTTTTATTACATATTATGATCACACAACGTTGTTATTATTATTATCACCATTATTATTAGTAGTATTATTATATTGATAAAAAATGTGGAACCTCACTACAAGTCATTCCGATAATTATGAAGTGACCTTCGTAATTCACAAATCACACCATCTCCAAATATTTCCATGGTAACAGATGAGAACGTTCATCATTGTTTATATAGGTAACTATGTTTTCAAAAACTTCTAATCTAAAAATATCAACTAAACTAAATTAATTCAGCGCTGCGTGTTATGCAAAATGTTTATTTCAAAGAATTATGACTTCTCATGGTGAACGTAGAAACTCTTTAGAAGTCACGAGATCGATATGTGTCAGATGTTGCTCAAAATAAGAAGATAAAACATTTCACAGTTCATGGTATAAATGAAACTCATGTAATGCATACTGTGCAGAAAAAGTCTTAGATTCAAGAAATATGCTGCTGGTCCTACGTGAAAAGTAAACAATCTGTTCAGATTGTTCATTACTGATACTTGTATATTTGCGTCTAAGCTACTACTACTACTACTACTACTACTACTACTACTACTACTACTACTACTACTACTACTACTACTACGACATCATCATCGTCTTTTTGAAGTGCACAATTCACTTTCATAGTATCGAGAATTACTATTTTACAAATGTAATCAAAAAAACATAAAAAGTCTTGGCGTTTTGCAATGAAATGAAAATTGATTTAAGAAAGTATGGACTGTTATTCATTCCATTGATTGAAATCATGAATCAATTGAAGTTAGACCACCATGGAAAACCTGGAAGCACTGGACGGCTGACTCATCCTAGTCTGGGACTCCTCAGCAGTGCACATCCAAGATCCCGCACCTCGTGAGATTCGAACCCAGGACATATCAGCGTCGCGTGCACAAAACCCTTCCTGATAATAATCATTTGCTCACTAGTGACTGACTTCAAGAGACACTCATGGAGTTCTAGTGAGAAACCACCCCGATTGACGTTCAACCAGGTCTGTTGTCAGATATCAACTCACTGAAGACAATGGTGACGTTGGCGCAACTTCGTGGATTGGTTGAAGTTCTAGGTTTTCCATGGTAATCTAGCTTCAATTGACTCATAATTTAAACCAGTGAAAGAATTCATTTTATTGAAATAAAATTTAAACATAAAAATGTGAATTTCGGTCATCTAATGAAAACAGTGTGTGCTACTTTAATTTCAACCAATCAAATCAAAACTATGCAGCGTTGGCAACCAACTCACAGTTGGTTTGTTTGTTCATGAATATATGAGCACTAATTACTTAGTTTAAAATATTGGTAATCCTGTGCAAAATAGTTTTCATCAATAAGGGAGGGGGTCAGGAATTTCAATCAACTATGGATCAATATCAGACTATATAACCTCAATACGTGTAAGACTATTGCATAACCATGAGTTCATCTCCTATGACGATTGGTTAATAATTATGAAATGATTTTATCAAATTTGATCATCTTAATGGTCAATTTGAATCATCCAATCTGAAAGAAACATACAAACACTTCCAAAAAATTCTATATAAGACTCAACGCATTCTACCAACGTCTAAAACAAGAAAATGATGTAAGTATTGACCGTACACTTAAGTCAAATGATTGTATTATATCCATTTCAATTTGATCTAATGAGATAACATTGTTCTATTCATTTGAACCATTTCAGATTTACATTTTCATTTGGTCAGTTGGTAACGATCTATTCGATCATTGTCCTCACATCGGAATTTTTCGTCTGTCATGAATTTTGTGAAAACTCTGATGTACTTAGTAAGGAAGAAGTAATTTTCCAAACTGATACATATAAATATGTAAGTGATCAGTCAATTTGCATTACAAATATTCAGTCTCATTTTTATCACTATTCCCAGTTCATTCGCCTAGATCAATCCCCTCCAATTGTTAGTGAAAAGTTTGAGAAATTGGATAATCCGAAGGTGAGTGTACGACATTTTCCAACGAAGATGCTAATTCACATGTTTGCATATTTCTAGCAAATAGATCTGAAATTCCCCTTTACATTTTACGGTGCTGATCGCAGCTCATTCGCTATAGATAAATATGGTAAGAGAATTCTTTTCCTCGAATTAAAGTTTTGTTTACTCACATTTCAATTCCATGAATCAAAGTCGCTTTCATTACTTCAATAGATCAGTTTGAGCCATTTTTCCCCACATTCAATACATCTACCAATGTATTTCCTTGTTCAAGTTGTACCGTTGTAGTAAACTAATTAGAGTTCATGCAATTCATTCTAGTCTCCAGTGAATTTCAAAGTGTTTCATTCATTCACTATAGATTATTAATCGAATTGCATGTTTTCATTTGATAAAAACAGGTAAAATTTTTTTAAACGGAAACGACGATTCAAGACAAATTTTCAATTCTATTTCCCGCAATGTTCAGTGTGAAACTGAGACTTTGAATGGGGGTGAGTTCTTCTATTATTCAGTGACGTGTTTTTGTTTTATGTTTTACATTACTCATTATTATTTTGCATAAATGATTCAGCATCTAACTTGATTGTTTCATGGGAGCTGGTCAGTACACAGTGATTATTTTATTTGTGTGATCTCATGCCCCAAAAATGTGTTCACAACATGTTTCCATTACTGTGAAGGGAAAATCTTAAATAAAACAGTGATTCACTTTAAAGTAGACACAAATTGATTGAGTAGAAATAATAAACCAAACGATGTGAATGCGAAGGTGCAAATTATCTACTCTTCAATCTGTTCAAACTACCATGAAACTGATATTTCATCAATACGACATTTCTTGATAGATTGAACGAAACTATCTGATCACAGATGCAACAATGAGCGATGTTGTGTGAGAAATCAGTTTGGATTATTGAAGCACATGACTCATCAATAATTTATATTTGATGTCCTCCAAATTTATCTGTCACTTACTTGGTTCTTAAAAATTCAGTCCCTCTTATTCACTTTCGTTGAACTGTTGGATATTAAACACACTCTTAATTATCATAATCGGTTAATCATGAAGTTTGAACTCATGCACCACCTCAACTATCCAATCAACTAACAATCACGAATAATGTGCTAGTACAACATGATTGATTTGAACTGGAACACCTAGAATATCAATATGAAGGGTATTCAGTTCATTCAGTTACCGAAATTAATGTCATTGGGGTAAAATTTTCGGGCAATCATTAATTCAGTTAAGAGAATACTGTTCAATTGTATTGACAGAATTTCACAAAATGATTATGTATGTTTATTGTCGAATAGATATTAACGGTTGTTTAGGTAGCCAAAAGCTTACAAGTCAAACATTTCGGAAGTATAATATTTTACTCAGTTGATTAGATTGAAACGTTCATCATATGCAGATCATTGAGACTCTCATTTGATTGAATTGGTTCACTTCAGTCTTGAAAAGGAACATCATAACTTGTGTTCAAACACATTTTGTTCATTGAAGGAGGTAAATATTCATTATACAGACACATGAACATTAATTTATTTTACTTTCATTATTTCAGAGGAAATTTTTGCTGTCAGAAAACTATGTCCTATAGACATTGATAATAAAAGTATGTATCCATATCCATAATTGTTTGATCCCGTGTGAACTATGAACAGTTTACATCATCATCATCATCATCATCATCATCATCATCATCATCATCATCATCATCATCATCATCATCATCATCATCATCATCATCATCATCGTCATCATCATCATCATTGATTGTTATTACTCAAATATTTTCTATTGAATTCGTCTTTAAAAAACCTGACGAAAGTATTGCAGTGTAACCATTCTACGAAATCAAAGGCTAAATGCACATAGAATCCATGTAATACATAAATCGGATTATTAACAAACAAACAAACAGCAGCTCATGTCACTTAAGCCTAGAGTCGATTGTATCAGCTGAAATAAAGGAAATATTCCACCAATTTGAATATCACTCCAACTGTCAGATCTAATTAGAAACTAGATGATTTATTGTTTGAATATGAAAACTAAAGAAACTAAGCATCTGACATTCATTATGAAGGATATATATGCTTATTTCATCTACACAACATTCACGAGATTATTTTCATGACGAAAGCATTTGAGATAACACAGTAAATATCTGCTAACATCTGATCCCTCTGTGTGCGTACGCACATACAATGACACATCTAGCAACGACATGCTCGACACTAATCCTTGAAATTTTAAATATCGACAGTTTTCTATTTCGCAGGTGATACATTCAAGGCAATGTATCTGATACACTCGAATGGGAAGATATCTTTCTATTATGAGAATGTAAGTTGCACAAATGAATGGATTATTCTATTATTTCATGCATATCAGTACAATCAAATACATTGAGATATATTGAAAAGGATAAACCGATACCAGCAATTTGTATTGTGCATACAGAATTTATGAAACTACTCATAATCCGTTCATGACACAGTTTATTCTAGCACTATTTAAAAAATAATGAGAAGTGATGTAATATGTAACCAAATTCTGATACCTGCGAGCCAATTAACGACAAAGAGTGTATGTCAGAGTTCTGTACGTGAACGGTCATTTTCAGACTTCCACATACCAGTTGTTAGAAAAGTTCATAATTGAATATTTCGAGAGAGAGAGAGAGATGTTGTTAAAATCGTGATCGCCTCTCACATTGTATTTGTTCGAATGTCACTAATTAGAACTTTATCGATTTGTAACACAATAAATACTGGATGACTAGAAATGGCTGGTGAGATGATAAATTTTATGAGTGTTGAACCGAATACGTCTTGTTTGTTTCGAGGTAATCAGAACAAATTGTGGAATGAATAATGTTGAGAAATGAACGGCAATTGATATAAGTAGGCACATAAACACAATTCCACAACAGAACAACAAATTCACGTTCAGCGACATTGCAGTTATTCACAATCACACTTCTACCAACGGACGTAGATATTCATCTTACTATGTATAGCCTCATTCCATGATAAATAGATCGTTCATATAACTTCACTGAAGTTGTCAACTGAGGTGAGTCAGAATATCTTTGTAAATTAGATGGAGTATATTTCTGAGGGAACCGGGGAGATCAGTTTGCTTACTGTAAGTGTAATTACTTGTCTTTGAATAAGATAATGTGAATGACGACACATTGCTTCAATGTTTAGTTGGTTTTGATATAGGTGTTTGTGTATTGACAGATCTTGACTCAGACTTCCATTACTTCTTTTCAGATTCCCGGAGGACTTAAGGAAGGCGATGTTATATCAGGCATTAGTTATTATGTCTGGTGTGGGGATCGAGGTAACATATAATAAAAATTCATAATCGAAACTCATCCTGAAATTATTTTTTAACTTTCAAATTGATACCAAAGTATTTGTATTCTCAATTGAACAACCGTCATCCTCGTTGATATCGCAAAGCAGATTTTGAGTTGTTGTGATTCATCGGAATCGTATTGTTTTATCTTTTTGTGCTGAGCTCCATCAAAAAGAATTTCAAGATCCACGTCAGCTGACGCTTGCCTAACTTGGTACACCGAGTAATATAATTAAGATGTGTGAATGTCTTCATCAGGAATTTGCGGATAGATATTTGGAGAAGTCTTCTGTATAGTCTTAACGATCCAGACAGGAATATATGAACGAGGATACTAGACAGACGATATATCTACTCATTTATTCACTCACCCACTAACAGACAATCAAACTTGCAGTCTCTCAATATTGACTATTTCTGAAACAATTTGTAACCAGATAAACATATTTTCTCTGTAGATGTTGCACTGACACTTTAGTGCAACAAATCAGCAATTTGACGATATCATTTTTCATTTAGTCGTTGAACATCGGTCAATTTCGGAACCTTAAGCGATGTAGAGCATATTTCATAAGGATGATATTTGACCGTCATTTTATCTATAATCCGATATTAAGCAGTTTCTTATTTTGATCGCCTCTTAAATGAACAAACAACGTGTCATATCCAAAATGGTAATCTGAATTTTATTTGTGTTCTTCTGTACAATTAATCACAGTAGGTAATAAAGGGCCTAGAATAGATGTTCCTTTTGAAAGTATCAAAAATGGAACGCTAGTGGAATATGAAGTTCTCGGGGGTATGTAAAACCTTATTTTATCAGAGTTCACTATTTTCACACTTGAATGCATCACCTTCGTTTCATAAAATTAGAACTTTCATGTATCATTTCAGACAGTTATTAAATGATATAAGGCCATCAGTCTCAACTGACGTTCCATCAAACAACGACTCACTGTTGAACATTTAAAATGATTATAGGCACATTTTGAACTATAAAAGAAGTTTTCAGTTTGATGAAATTTACTTGAACAAAATGTCACAAGACGATGGATGAAATGATATCAGTCAGTTAGTTGATTGTGCATTCACTAGGAAGTGTTATTTGATTTTCATTTGGTACATGCAATATCGAATTTCACCGAGGAATTGACATTACAGAAACACTTCATGAAACTGTAATTGCCTTGGAAACAATAGTTTAATTTCCAAAATCTCTACTTTATCCCACTCATCTGATAGATTGAAGGAGTAGAAAAATCACGTGTTCAAAGTTCACTTTATCATAGTCAGTAAACATTTGTACAGTATCGAAAACACTGAGGGTTTTCACAGTATGGAAGCGTTTCCTTTCTCCTGAATACGTACAGTGAATAACCAGACACATCGTTTTGTTCATCATGTATTAAACTATTGAAATAATATTTCAACAACAGAGAGAATCATTCCATAATGTGATGTCCAGATCGACTTCAATATTCGTTGACTAGAATATTATTCATTATCGACAAATTTTCATGAACCAACTAGTCTAACATACTAACTGATGACACACAGGGTAGAATGGAGCCCCATGAAATATTTCAATCATGAGGCAGGAACGAGTTTCGTTGACCGTCTAACGTGTACATTTCTTTTCTAATATTAATAGTCATTGACATCCGCGACATTCGCCTGACAAATTTCATCGTTCAACATGCAACGTAATCTTATTTAATTCCAACATGTTTTCAGGAAATGTGAATCACATTGGAAGTGTGATGACAAATGTTCAGAGAATGAAATACTCATTTAACTCCGAAATCGCCATCATTGAGTTACAGTTACATTTGTATTTGTAATTCATTTATCTTTTGTTTGAGAACTTGAAATGCAATCACCTTCTTCTTTCTTTCACTGAAGATTGCCCAAATCACAGCTCGCCTGAAGCATGTCATGGCGCAACAACATTGAATAAAACGTGTATTTGGTGTAAATTAGCCAATATATGCACTGCTAGCAATGATGAGGATGTTCATGTTTTCGAAGTAAATGGTTGCCAGAAAAAAGTAAGCAATTGGTAGACTTCAAAGATTGTTCTTAATATTACGATATGCCAAATTGCAATCTTTTTTTTCGAAGAACATTTGTATTGTTCGAATTAGTAGTGATTTCTAGTGTACCGTAAGTGCATAATTAAAGTAACTTATACGATATTGAAGCACATATGAATGCAATGCTCTATTTCCGTATGGACATTCAGCAATGAATAGAAGAGTTATTTAACACTAATGCATGGAAAGATGTTAATTCATTAGCTCATATAATGCGTAATCTGTTGAAAATTGTGTAGCATGTTCGGATAATGAGTGAAAGTTGGTATCCCCATTGTTGAAGTACAGAACACGTATTTCTGATTCCTTGTTGAGAAATGTTTACCCTGAATGAATTGCTTCAGTAAAGCCGTCAGTCATAAGTTTGTTGAGTAATGTATAGATTGTGATACGATGTGACATCCAGAAAACAAATCTCATCACTCAAACAAAAGTCGTCGGTTAGTTGTTGGAAAGTGTGTACTTATCACATTGACTGTTAAATCGGTAGCAGATATTCTTAATCATTATTCATTGATCACATTGTGCAAATGTAAATTATGTAACTAATTGTTAAATTCACTTCTATCATCAATACTGACAATGGTGTATAATGAATGATGAAATATTTGATATTTAATTATATTCTACTGTTTCTTTCTTCTGAAGAGCTCGGTTGTCAAGGGTTCCAATGAACCAACAACTTTAGCAACTACAGAAACTGATCTAATAAATGAATTGAAGAAAACTAGTGGAAGCACTGAATCACATTTGGTAAATATTCGATAGTTCGTAATCATTACACTATTTCGCTCATTTCAGAACATGACTACAGATACAACTGTAGACATCGGGGAAAGAAAATCACCTCAATACGTGTACATCATTGTACCATTAGTTACATCTTTCCTTATTGTATGCTTTGGCTGCGGTATTTGGCTATGGTTCCACAGAAGGAAGCGAGTTTATCCATAGTCCCCACAAACAGCTTGTCAATTGTTTTCATCAAGTTGACTTTGTTATGTTCATTTTTTAGTTTAGTTAACACACTTTCTATTTGGTTAATCATTTCAATACATTGAAGATTGTTTCATGGAACTGCATATCACATTAATGATTGTTTACGTAATGACTGATGTCAGTTTGTTGGTAGAATATAATTTTTTTTGTATTTATGTCATTGTTTTCATTCAATGGAAACATGGGTAATTTCACAAGAGATTACAACATTGCACTTGTCAATTAACACTATCGTGTATACATGATTATGTGACCATTGAAATCAGCCAAGTGTCCGTTGTAAATGTCCATTTTATTAGAGTCTCAATACTGAGAAATATCACTCGAAATTGACGTGGTTCATTGTTTCAAACTAAACTGTTGGAATGCGGCATCAATAT